TCATCCTCCTCGTCCGCGGCCTCAGCAGCGGCGGTGTCACGCTTGGCCACGTCCTCCTCCTCCTCCTCTTCGTCTTCGTCTGCTGCCTGAGCAGTGGTGGTTTCACGCTTGGACACCTCCTCGTCCTGATCGAGTTGAAGATCACGATCCAGGACGCTCTTCGCCGCATCGGCGTCTGCGGGGTTCTCCTCAGCGAGAGCGGCGATAGCGGCGGTGAGCTCGTCCTTGCGGGCGACGATGTTGTTGAGGGGCGCAGCCATGGCCACGGCGACCAGGGTAGTGAGTGCAAGAGTGAAACGCATGTTGACGGTAGTGGCTTGGATGAGTATTAGATGATTCAAACGGGAGGTTGAGTATTAGATGATTTAAATTGGAGGTTGATCCGAAAAAGAGGACAGCTCTGCGGCGGGAGAACTCAAGCTTGCTGGTGACAAGTAAAACCGGGTGGGTGTTGCAATGGACCAAGGTCGTTGTGTGAACAAGAGTCAATGGATCGAGGAAGGGCAAGCCTGGGTATTTCAACTCCCGCGACCAACAGGGGGGGAGGGAGGGAGGCGAGCGATCCCGTGCATTCAACCTCCTCTGGCACGATCGGAGTGTCCGTCCGCGTGCGGCCGATGCCGCAGAGCCGGATGGGTCGAAATCAAATGACAACTTGACAAGTCACTGACGCCTCTTGTCAACGCAAGCTCTATTCCCGTCATAGCACGCGGCCCTTGCCTCGCTTGCACGAACGATTTTGGGCAAAAAGGCTATCGCTCAGGGGGGGGGGGTGTGTTTGATGTCCTGAGCATCGTGGGCATGTTTCGGACATTGGGCGAATCGCATGCTTTACTCGCCTTGGGGAGGGGGGGCCATGCACAAAGGGGGCCACGCAGGTTACCAACAAGGTATGAACTACGGATAGCTGCTGCAACACCCACACACTCATACCGGCTTGGCCGGTAGTTGAGGGCCTCAGCCGAGTTCGTTCGAGGTGTGCAAGACGGGCCAGTAGCACGGGGTTTCTCCACACGGAGGGAGCATGCGTGGGTCGGAGTGGGACGAAAGTTCGGGTGAAGCGATACTTGTCAGGAGTTCAAGGTGCCGTGCGAAGAGGCTCATGGCCTAGTCGCCCATGCAGCCAGTGCTCGGACGGCGGCTGTGGGGATGGCAGAGCTCGTCTTTCCTTTTCGCGTGCCTCGAGAGGGTTGCACCGGGCCTGAAGACATCGGGCATCCCTGGATAAGGATAGTCGCTGGGAGCTTGACCAAGCTCCCCCTCCCCCCCCGGTCCATCGCCGGGGAGGGGGGTCGGGGAGTCCGGGGGTGCTGCTTGGATTTCGGTCGAGTCGATCACCAAGGCCACCGGTGAGAAACAAAGGAGCGAAAGCTTCCTGATACGTCTCGATGAAGGGCGTTTCTGGCGCGATCCGGCCCTCCCGTTTCGATTTGCTTCTGGGAACTCACCCTAGCTTTGTTGCACCGGCTGCTTCATTCCGTGGGTGGCCCCGGGATGAATCTCTGCGTGGCCGCGGGTCGTCGCTTTTTTTTAGACGATGCTACTACCCGCTAGACGTGATCAGGTAAACATTTACGGAACAAGGTAATCTTGCCAAGAGCCATTTCAATTGTTCTACACACAAGTCGTCGCCGTCGTCGTCTTCGTCGTCGTCTTCGTCGTCGTCATCATCGTTCCCGTCGTCATCATCACATATCCTTCGGTTTGGCTGGTAGGCGATATTCCATGCCCACTGTCACACTCCCGAACCACAGCGCCAGCTTGTCCACAATAAGGTTCTTCCTCCCGTACCAAGGACCCTGGTTTGTTACGACCGGCATCCGGCCATGCGCCCGCTTGAAGTAGTTGGATGTAGCGTCAACGCATGGCAACCTGGGCGAGCATCTCTTCTCCTCCTCCGACAGGATAGGCGTGGCGGACACGGCACCGGTCCTCTCCATCTCCTTGATGACGCGGATGAACAGCCGCGACACGGTGTCTGCGCCGGGAGTCCAGGTCTGCGTGACGTAGCCAATGATGGCGGCCGCGTTGGGCACTCCGTCGAGCATGCACCCGCGCCAGCAGTACTTGTCGCCGACCTTGACCGGGACGCCATCGACCGTGACGTCGGTGCCGCCCAACAGCTGAACGTGCAGGCCCGTCGCGGTGACGATGATGTCGGCGGGTAGGTGGCGTCCGGATTTCGTGAGAATGCCATCCTTCGTGACGGTCTCGATGTGGTCGGTAACAATTTCCGTGTTGGGCTGGTGAAGGGCCTTGAAGACGTCTCCCTCGGGGCACATGTTGAGACGTTGCTCAAAGGGGTTGTACTTGGGCTTGAAGTGGACGTCGACCGGGTAATCATTGGGCAGCCGGCGCTGGGCTTCGGATCTGAGCAGCTTCTTGGCCATGGTGGGGAAGCGGAGGACGATCTGGATGAAGACCGTCTCCAGCACAAGGTCCTTCAAGAGAACGAACCAGTTGGCCAAGAACAGCGGGAGGAGTTTCTTGGCTGCCTTGTCCACCGCAGACTCGGCCGCCAAGGCAAAGACGTAGGATGGACTGCGCTGCAGAATCGTCGTGTGTGCGGCGGTCTTGGCCATGTTGGGGAATAGCGTCATGGTCGTGGCGCCGGAGCCAATGAGGACGACGCGTTTCCCAGCATAGTCGAGGTCCTCGGGCCACCATTGGGGGTGGATTGTCCGGCCCTCGAACTTGTCGATGCCGGGAATGTGCGTCTCAAGCGCCTTGTCGTACGAGTAGTACCCCGAGCAGACGAGGAGGTATTTGGCCTTGAACGTCTTGTTCCCTTGGGGCGTCGCGCACTCGAGGGTCCATCGTGCCTCGTCGCTGTCCCAGCTGGCGGCCGAGACCTTGTGTTGGAACCGGACATGCTCGTCGAGGTGATGCGTCTTGACCGCGTCTTCGATGTACGCGGCAATGGGCCCGCCTTCGATGATCTTCTTGTCGTGGGGCCAGGGATGCCAGCCGAAGCCAAAGTTTGTCATGTTGGAGTCGGAGCGGAATCCGGGATATTTCCAGTACGACCATGTCCCGCCGACGACGTCACGCGCCTCCAGCACCGCGAAGGTGGTGTCTGGTAGCTCGGTTCGCACACGATATGCGGCGTTGATGCCGGAGATGCCCGCCCCGAGGATGAGAGCGTCGAGCTCTTCCGCCATTGTGTGGATGGTCGTTGTCGAGGTTGATGGTGATGATGATGATGGTGATGATGATGATGATGATGATGACGATGGCGATTCAGCAATGGGAGGGAGCTGTGCCGGAAACCACAATTTTATGTTCGGTGCAATTAAGGGTGGTTTTTTTTTTCTTTCTTTCTTTTTCTCTCTCTCAGAGGCAAATCCTCCCATGCCGAGGTTTGTTGAGGACGTGCACGCGTGGTTCCGATGGGTACTTCAACCTTTCTTCCAGCCCTTGCTTGGTTGGCCCCCATACCATACAGGAAGA